TTATATATGTGTTGTAGGCAGTTTTATGTTTGTGTATGTATGTGTACGTATCTGTGCATCACATCCAGTCCATTGGTATCACTGTGGGAAAACTGCTGTAGGACCTCTTTTTGGGAACTTTCTCGAGATATTATTAGCTGAGAATAATCTATAATCTCAATACACTCGATAAGAGGCGGGCTGTATCCTGATACCTTCAGGAAACAGACTACCTGTATATTTGAAATGCTCGATAAAGCAGTGCTAGCCGATAACTGCATTTAATTATCAGAAAATGATTTTTCCAGCAATTTTTCTGAACGCCCAGTATGACAGTTAGCTACAGTGGCTGAAGCAGACAAACTGTTTGTTGGTAGTACCTGGTTCTGGAACAATGTAAAAATTCACTACGGTTATCTCACACCTGTCAGCCTTGGTATTCTTAGTTGAAAAAGCGATCAGTTTGAACTTCAGCACTCTCTGTACTCTTTACTATATAATATAATTAATTTTTCAGAAGATTAATGATTGGGTGATGGAAAAAACAAAATCAAAGATACGAAATCTGGTGAATTCGAAGATGCTCACAGAAGCAACCAAAATGATCATCGTCAGTGCGATCTATTTCAAAGGAAGTTGGAAGAAGCCTTTTCCGGAACGACGCACTGAAAAGAAACCGTTTTATTTGTCCGAAAATGAGCAGACTGAGGTTCATTTTTGACTTTCTAAAATCAATCAGTTGGTCTTTTTTATTTTTCACTAGTTTTGTCTCTTTTCTTTTTCACACTGCTTGGTAAGATACCTCGTCGTGTTCAAGACCAGATAGTGATACTCGACAAAAACACATCATTAACATCTTGAGACGGTTAAAACCTTGGCAAGTGCTTCCGTAGGGAGAGCCCTTGCTCCAGAAACTCAACGGCTCACTGCTTCTCCGAATCATTTTCCACAAGCCCTCAGCATTTTCTGGGGCGGTAATTCGAGACTTCTCTCGTTTCTTTCTTTCTCTCAAAGAAATATTATCATTTAAGGTGAGCTGGGACTCAATTAATTCTCCTTCAAGTGTCATCTGAAACTCGAATTATTTTCCTAGCCCTATTTTTTCATACAGTAAAAATTGGTACTTGAGAGGTACTGCGCAGATCTCAACTTTTGACGATGAGTTTTCATTTCCTCCGTGCAATTGCAGTTCTTTAAGTCAAACATCCTCAAGCTAAAAAATTACAGGTGGACACAATGCATATACTGGACCACTTCCCATATAATGCAGACGAAAATGTTCAAATTCTGATATTGCCATATCGTGGTGAGCATCTCTCCATGTGTTTATTACTACCAAAAGAAAAATATGGGCTGGAAGAATTCGAGAATTCGCTTAATGGTACTCGACTTCTGGAAATGGTTGCTGAAGCGGAGTCAAGAGATGTTCGAGTACGTATTTTTCATTATGTTTCCTGCACTTTTTTTATCCAGATTTGTTGCAAATTCACAATAAATCTCCCTTATCTAGTAAAAACATGTCATGTCGTTGAGTACTCTTAAGATAACCGAGTTTTGAACTTGTGCCAAAAGAAATTTGGCGTCCTCTTACGCGGTTACGGCGCCTACTAAGGGGGTAGATTTAAGTTCATTAACACCCACTTAAACGGGGAACATACTGGATCAGGGCGAGAATAACATTTTTACGGGATGCTGTAGATTTTTTGATTTTTGAAAGATGACTGGATTATGAGTTTTGCCAGAATTAGGTGTGTAGCTAGAGCCAGTGAATTTTGACCCTTTTGACGACGAGGAGGGCTCTCATGATTGATATCCATGACGGGGAACAAAGCAACTATAGAAACAAGACAACTACGGAACCTTCTCCCTCCCTTCTTCCCCTTCTCCCCTCCCGCTCTTCTCTTCCGTCGCAAAGACAACGCTTTTGCGTCGTAGAAACAAAACACGTTATAGGCAGCCTAGCACAGAAGACCCCAGGATAGCTGTCTTGATTTCTACAACACTCAATCCGGAAGATATTAACGGGATGAGATGAGCACTAGGGTCGCTAGTAGGCTGATCACTAGCGCTGGTCAAGGCAATTGGAAAAGTTGCCAGTTGCGTAGTTGAAGAAGCGAAAATGGTGCAAATATTTTCAGGTTGCGTTACCGAAATTCAAGCTCGACAAAAAGTACGATCTGGTCAGTACACTGAAGAATTTGGGCATCACAGATGCTTTCGAAGGTAGCGCCAATTTTAGTGGCATGAGTGATGCACCCCTATTCGTTGACAGTGCCGTACATCAAGCATTTGTCGAGGTAACATGTTTGCTTTTGAGTTTTATCTGCAAATTGATTACCTTTGATAGGATCAGGAGCAGGTTTCAGAAATTTTTCAATAATTTTTGATCGTTTTGACCACTTCCTGAAAAAATCTCGAAAAAATCGAACAGGTCCATTCCGTCTTGTAACTTCTTCCTTTTCTGCACCTTACCTAGAAATTTTTGACAGGTCAATGAG